CATTTGCTTCCTTGGTTAGAGATCAGTTTGACAAATTTGTCACTCAAAAAGCTTGTATAGTGTTCCATAAACTTATCGCTTGTGGCCTACTAGGAGCTAGTTGGAGGTGTTTCGATGCCTGGAATTGTGCATTCATCTTTAATGAGGTTGTATTCATATTGTTTTCTTTGTCAAAGGAGTCTTGGGAATTCCATGCTGTAGAACATATTTTCATTTAAAAATTGCATCTGGCCACTAAAATGTCACTCTGATCTGGTAATAGGCACAGATTAGCAAGTGCAGGTTGTGTGGCCTGGGGCAGCTAATGCACAGCAATTACCTTGCTGAAAAAAGAGGCAGTTCAAGTTAAAAATCAGCAGCAGAACTGTGCATTGTGAAAAGCTCACATGGAAACAGATGGTATCTAAGGAGAGATGACTGATTCAGTGGGCTAGAATATCCTGGGACATCACAGGACACAAATATGGCCAGAGGCAAAGGTCAGATGTTTGCTCCTCAGTCAAGTGTTTTGAACAAGTGCGTGGCCAGGGACAAACTTTCAAATCTGGGAATGAAACCATGATATATATCATTTGCAAGATACTTATATACTAAAAGGGTGGCCTATGCATCACTATAAGCAATAGACATTCCTTAGTGCAATTTCATACACATAATAAGTCCTCATTTCCATTAAGTAGATAGTTATGTGGTAGAAGTCCTAGTGTAAATTCTTTCTAATTATTAGTGTAGTCTAATTATTGACTAGTCAGTAGATTCGGCATCTGGATTTACTGAGCTTAAATCAATAAGGTACCTAAGGAGCCTTGTGTTGACAAAGACTATTTAATTGTTAGATTTAGAAATACTTTGTCAACAATTCTGGTATGGCTGTCAACAAATGCATGTTTTTTGTTCTTCCCTAATCTGATGGCTTGTTTCTTTACTCTCCCTTGGCAGTGACAAAGAATAAGGATATGAAAATCGAACTCACCCACCTCTGAAGCATGCTACTAAACATTCTAGCAGGAACTCAGCACATAATCCTGAGATTGTTGTATGAGAAAATGCATAGATTCATAGATTCCAAGGCCAGAAGGTAACATTGTGATCAACTAGTCTGACCTCCTGTATAACACAGGCCAGAGAACTTCCCCAAAATAATTCATAGAGCAGATCTTTTTAGAAACAAACATCCAATTTTGATCTTAAAGTTGTTAGTGATGGACCACTGAGGTGAATGGAGGGAGCAGTGCTGTACACTGCACTAGCTCAGGGACTCTGCTTGTGCATGCCTGTCACCGGGCACCTTACTCACGGCTAGGGACTCATTCTTGCGGCCCAGGGCTGCCCAGAGGATTCAGGGGGTGTGGGGCAAAGCGGGGGAGCTGCGGTGCTTGTACTCACCCGGCGGCGGTCTGGGTGTTTGGTGGC